CTGGCCACTACAACATCAGTCTGTTCACATTGCAAGTTGCTTCATAAACATACTTATCTATGTTCATGTTATCATTGTGGGTTATAGCTCTACTCAGGCTTCTAACTGCATTCCTATAACAATTATTTTCATTATTTACTTCTCTCCTAATATTATTCCTAATGCTAGACACAGATATACCAAAGTTATATTCTACATTCTCCTTCTGGGTACTTTTCTTGGCTAACATATCAACTTTATCATGAAGGAGTAATCCAATGTGTGATGGGATCCATAGCAATTGTACATTAATTCCTTTGTCCTTGATTTTTGAGTATCTATACCTGGCTTCTCCAATGAGCATTTTATTGGAGTCATTATATGACTTAAGAGCATTCAGTGATGACATAGAATCAGTAATGATGATAGATTCAAGCTCAGTGTCATAAGTTAGCTTTAGCGCCATTAGGATTGCAAACAGTTCAGTATTACCCCAGCAAGTGCAAAGTTGAGAAGTTCGGAGAAAGGCAAAATAAAAAAAGACTGCTGAGTGAGTACATATAAGCTGGACAGAAAGAGTAGGAGCGTTGCAAAGACTGCAAACCTCACTCAAGGAGGATCTTGGAGTGAGTCTTATTGGAGTGAGTATATTTGGTTGATGTGCGCCTCAGGCGCACATCAACTGTACACCGCGTACTTCAGGCCCATATTGGAGTATATACCACCAGTACCACATCAAGAAACTGGGGAAAGTGAAGAGGTTTGCAACGAAACTAGTCCCGGAGCTAAGAGGTATATCCATTAAGGAGAGGTTAAGGGAACTCTACCTGGTGACACTGGAGGAAAAAAAGGGACTATGGGGTGATATGATGATAACGTACAAAATTCTAAGAAGATTTGATAGGGTGGACAGGGACAGATTGAGAGTCGAGAAACAGGAACATTAGGGAACAGTTGGAAGTTGAAAACACAGATGAGTCACAGGGATGTTAGGAAGTATTTCTTCAGTCTTAGAGTTGTCAGGAAGTGGAATAATCTGGAGAGTGAAGTAGTGGAAGCAAGTTTCATACATAGCTTTAAGATGAGGTATGATAAAGCTCATGAAGCAGGGAGTGTGTGAATTAGTATCGAGCAGTGAAGAGGCGGGGCCAGGAGCTATAAATCTACCCCTGCAACCTAATATAGGTGAGCACGCAATGCACATGTCGTGGACAATTTCCGGGAATAATGTTATTAAAGTTTCTCCGTCTGACTTTAAAGAAAATGGGAAGTCAGAGGGAGAAGAGAAAATGATTGTGTAAGAAGAGGAAGACTTTATCCTGCTTAACCCTGATGGGTTAGTAATCCAATATAGCCCACATCAAACTCCTGTGTATTTATTTACTGCTAGGTCAGATGGGCAGCAGGTAAAAGACTTGTCCAGACGTCTGGCTTCTCCCAGGATTCGACCAGGGTACTTTCAATTGTGAACTAAACGTACCACCATTGTGTTGCGAATTATCTATTACTCTTGTCAAAATTAAGGCATTATAATACATAAAAGCAACGTGCTTTATTTTTGTACCGTATTAAGTATTATACTACAGTCAAGAGAGCGAGATTCTCTTTAACAGGTATCTACTGAAGAGGACCTCAGCTGGCGGTCGAAAAAACTTACCATTACTCTTCATTTTTATCTCATGTGGGATTTCCTCTCTCAGTGTTTACCACATCCTGATACACCAACATGCACATAGCATCATGCACGAGCCATTCCTAGTACCACACACACTGGCCACATATGAAAGCCATAATATGTCCTCTCTCTCTCTCTCTCTCTCTCTCTCTCTCTCTCTCTCTCTCTCTCTCTCTCTCTCTCTCTCTCTCTCTCTCTCTCTCTCTCTCTCTCTCTCTCTCTCAGCACCCGTCTGAGGGTGGGTATGGCGCCACGATGCAATCTACCAACCCCCGGGCTACAAGCGATTCTGGCCCACCAGGATATATAGCATGGCCCTCGCTTCACTGGCATGCTAGGTGGTGCTCGTCTTGTTGTTGTTTTTGCTCGTCAACAAACAGGAAAGTTATCTCCACACCGATGTTAATCAAATGACTGACTCAGGTTAAACAACCTCTCTGGTCTAGCGACTGCGGGTTACAAGCCGACAAGTGGGCATAAACACTGTATGCAGAGAAAGACTGAAGACCAAAACACATCTGCAACAGTTGGGTATCTTTATTGTTGCAATAATGTTGGTAGAATTAACGGACAAAAGGACACAAGTGCAGCAAATGTGACATTGCATCGTTTGTAACTGCTTGACAAAGCTCCTATAGAGCGAAACGTTGCCATAATTAAAATATCGCATATTAGTTGCACCTGTGTCCTTTATTGCTGATCGAAGTGTACCGCCTACACAGTCTTCTATGATCAATACAGAGGCATCAGACTTGGTAGCGAAGTACAGATGATGTAATCAATCTACCAATCTTGGAGAAATATATTTTTAAGATGGTCAGTCTCTCAACTTGGAGAAGTGTGCAGAGTAAGACGTATCGTTCAGGAAGGTGCTTTATTAAGTCTTGGTTAAGCTCAACCATAAGGAAATGGGTAAAATAAAGTCTGCATTAAGTATGTTCGTGCCCATCCTCTGATCTACCAGAGATTTAGATTTTGCTACCTAGTGGCTAGTTTATTGTGCACCCCATGAATATGGATACACAAAACGCCTAGGAACTAGGCCTGGAGAGGGTTTACAGAAGTACGTTAGGATTTATATCTACAGTTCACCTGTTACAAACAAATTTAGGAAATTTGCTTAATATATCTGGTATCTTATTTTCATTAATAAGATATCCTGACATGTCACATAAGTGAACAATTAAGCACACAGTGTTCAAGATAGTGACCATACGGCGTTTTTCCCAGTTTCAGGAGGAAGGGAAGTATGATAGATATCATTCTTAGATTGAAAATAAATCATACTGGTTAGTGAGGTTCAAACATCTGTCGACTATGCAGGGAGATTAATTAAAGATACATGCAAACTTTTCACCGCCAGTTAAGAATATTTTAATTATTGTTAAAAATGGTTAATTGGGTTTAAAGTCTATTGACTACACGAGGGTCATTAAGGTTGCACGTAACCTTGAGTAACTGGAGTTTCCCTGCAATTCTTTATACCTGATTACCTCCCATTCCCTAGTCACTTGCATTACCCCCTATGGGTTTAGCACTACCTCGTCAAGATACGAGAGGCTTAAATATCGCAACTTACATTGTCATATGTAATTTGTGACACAGTGGACAAATAACCAGCGGAAGTTCTCGATCAAATAACCAAAAGCTTCGCTCAGTGGATCATCACATGACTAAGAGATGCGTCGGGAGAAATCTTACCCATTTATCCTGATATACAAAATACCAGCGACACAACCAGAATGGGAGGCGCCCGCATGGCAAGCAGTCAGTCCTCAGGGTCCACTCTTGTTTATATTCCTCATGATATAACCACCTTAAATCAAAACCAGTCGTACGTCTCTATCTCGGTTTCTTTTTTTTAGATGTCGACAGCACACGTCTTGGTCGGTACCCGTGTTATTGTTACGTATTAAACTGAATCATCGTTCAGTACTTATTCCTTGAGTCAAGATATACGAACTCTTGAAGCGGAGGTGAAAACGTGTCATCACAGCATGGAAAATAAAGGACGTCTACACTGTTATAGGCTGGTTGGTTGCATGGATGGTTAATTGGATTTAAAGCCTATCGGTATACGAGTGCAATTAACGCTGTGTATCACCTGTTCGCCACCTGTCAAAATTAGATTTTAGATTTTGCCACCGAAGTGGCTAGTTTATTGTGCATCCTATATCCATCCTGTGGACGGTAGCGTAAGAGCATATGGATACACAAAAGTCCTAGGAACTAAGGTTAACAGGTGTACATTTGGATTTGTATCTACAAAGCTAAAGATTTCCATTCCCATGTGGCTCGATTTCCATTGTTAAGATCGCATGTTTGCGAATATATTAGACAGATAGTCACTCTCTCTCTCTCTCTCTCTCTCTCTCTCTCTCTCTCTCTCTCTCTCTCTCTCTCTCTCTCTCTCTCTCTCTCTCTCTCTCTCTCTCTCTCTCTCACACACACAACACACACACACACACACCACACACACACACACACACACACACACACACACTCCGAATAATAAAAATTATATCCATAAATCCTGTATGTGCCATTAAGTTTAATCTGAGGACGTATATATGGAACACTTTGAAGCCGACATACTTTCCTAGATCATACCTAAATAACATGCATAGGTTTGGCATGTTCATGACATGTTTACAGTGGAGGATTAGAGTTATTGGTGGTCCCAGACAAGCAGCTTGTGGGGGCCCCAGAGCAAGCAGTGTGTGGGATCCCCAGGGTAAGCAATGTGTGGTGGCCCAGGGCATGGAATGTGTGGAGGGGCACAAGGGCAAGCAATGTGTGGGGGCCCCAGAGCAAGCTGTGTGTGGGGGCCCAGGGCAAGGAATGTGTGGGGGCCCCAGGGCTAGCGTCTCGTGGGAGCCAGTCCCGTCAAAACTTCATTGCCAAATTGCATGCTACTGGTGTTAGTACATAACTAGTCAACAAGCTTTGCCTTGGTTGTCTCTATATACATAAACTTATTTGAAGACAATCCTATGGTTTTGCCCAGATCCCTAAGTTGTGGAGGGCCCCACTTGTGTAGGGGCCCCCGTGACTGACCTGTCAGGTTCATGATTATGGTGAGCTACAGGTCTCTGAATTGTTAATCGCTCTTTATACAATATTTCCATTGTTACTATATTAATATTCCTTTTATATACCTGATATCCAAGACAGTTTGTCCGACTTGAGGTTATTTTTGTATTTTTCGAGTCACAGTGCCTTTATAGTCTCTCCTGAACCAAACTGTTATTTGCGGATATAGCCAGACGAAGGTGATGGAACACGACTAATTCTTGGACCAAACTGCAGATTGAGGCTATAACCAAGGCCAAGAAGGATCACTTACCATAAGGCACATTAGACGAGGTCTCTGCAAGTTCCTCCAAGAGCGATACATCGTCCTCAGTCTCCTGGTCTGCAGGCTGGTCTCCCCGACCTCCACCACTTCGTCGTCCACTCTTTCCTGGTGTCAAAACGGTGAAATCTTAGGACTGACAAAGGCACAAGAATTCCTAACTCACTGGTTGTTAACAAAGTTTTTAACGACATTAACTCTCTGAAGTGTTCAAGGTTTTTATTATATGTTTTTATTATTGTTATTGTCACTGTTATATTTTCAGTGCCACTTTGTTGCGTCACTAATTTAGTGATGTTTGTGGATTACACGTCATTGTTACTGAAGGAATATCAGTATTACTGTAGTAATAGTATTACTGGAGTAATATTAGTATTACTGGAGTAATATCAGTATTACTGGAGTAATATTAGTATTACTGGATTAATAACAGTATTACTGGAGTAATATCAGTATTACTGGAGTAATATCAGTATTACTGGAGTAATATCAGTATTACTGGAGTAATATTAGTATTACTGGAGTAATATCAGTATTACTGGAGTAATATCAGTATTACTGGAGTAATTATCAGTATTACTGGAGTAATATCAGTATTACTGGAGTAATATCAGTATTACTGGAGTAATATCAGTATTACTGGAGTAATAACAGTATTACTGGAGTAATTATCAGTATTACTGGAGTAATATCAGTATTACTGGAGTAATATCAGTATTACTGGAGTAATATCAGTATTACTGGAGTAATATCAGTATTACTGGAGTAATATCAGTATTACTGGAGTAAATATCAGTATTACTGAGTAATATCAGTATTACTGGAGTAATATCAGTATTACTGAGTAATATCAGTATTACTGGAGTAATATCAGTATTACTGGAGTAATATCAGTATACTGGAGTAATATCAGTATTACTGGAGTAATATCAGTATTACTGGAGTAATATCAGTATTACTAAGTAATATCAGTATTACTGAAGTAATATCAGTATTACTGAGTAATATAGTATTACTGGAGTAATATAGTATTACTGGAGTAATATTAGTTAATTCTCTGGAGCAATATCAGTATTACTGGAGTAATATCATTATTACTGGAGTAATATCATTATTACTGGAGTAATATCATTATTACTGGAGTAATATCAATATTACTGGAGTAATATCAGTATTACTGGAGTAATATCAGTATTACTGGAGTAATATCAGTATTACTGGAGTAATATCAGTATTACTGGAGTAATATCAGTATTACTGGAGTAATATCAGTATTACTGGAGTAATATCAGTATTACTGGAGTAATATCAGTATTACTGGAGTAGTATCAGTATTACTGGAGTAATATCAGTATTACTGGAGTAATATCAGTATTACTGGAGTAATATCAGTATTACTGGAGTAATATCAGTATTACTGAAGTAATACAGTATTACTGAAGTAATATCAGTATTACTGGAGTAATATTAGTATTACTGGATGTAATATTAGTATTACTGGAGTAATATTAGTATTACTGGAGTAATATCAGTATTACTGGAGCAATATCAGTATTACTGGAGTAATATCAGTATTACTGGAGTAATATCAGTATTACTGGAGTAATATCAGTATTACTGGAGTAATATCAGTATTACTGGAGTAATATCAGTATTACTGGAGTAATATCAGTATTACTGGAGTAATATCAGTATTACTGAAGTAATATCAGTATTACTGAAGTAATATCAGTATTACTGAAGTAATATCAGTATTACTGGAGTAATATTAGTATTACTGGAGTAATATTAGTATTACTGGAGTAATATTAGTATTACTGGAGTAATATTAGTATTACTGGAGCAATATCAGTATTACTGGAGTAATATCAGTATTACTGGAGTAATATCAGTATTACTGGAGTAATATCAGTATTACTGGAGTAATATCAGTATTACTGGAGTAATATCAGTATTACTGGAGTAATATCAGTATTACTGGAGTAATATCAGTATTACTGAGTAATATCAGTATTACTGAAGTAATATCAGTATTACTGGAGTAATATCAGTATTACTGAGTAATATCAGTATTACTGAAGTAATATCAGTATTACTGAGTAATATCAGTATTACTGGAGTAATATCAGTATTACTGGAGTAATATCAGTATTACTGGAGTAATATCAGTATTACTGAGTAATATCAGTATTACTGGATGTAATATCAGTATTACATGGAAGTAATATCAGTATTACTGGATAATATCAGTATTACTGGAGTAATATCAGTATTACTGGAGTAATATCAGTATTACTGGAGTAATATTAAATAAATTCTATCACAGCTATTATCTGCAATCGTATCGCTCCCAGCTGACCTTTTTCAAATAATATTTGAGAAACCTTCCTGTGTGCGAAATATTGTGTAATAAAACCTCTGTGACCGAAACTGTGTAATAAAACTTCTGTGACCGAAACTGTGTAATAAAACTTCTGTGACCGAAACTGTGTAATAAAACTTCTGTGACCGAAACTGTGTAATAAAACCTCTGTGACCGAAACTGTGTAAATAAAACTTCCTGTGACCGAAACTGTGTAATAAAACTTCCTGTGACCGAAACTGTGTAATAAAACTTCTAGTGACCGAAACTGTGTAATAAAACTTCATGTGACCTGAAACTGTGTAATAAAACCTCTGTGACCGAAACTGTGTAATAAAACTTCTGTGACCGGAACTGTGTAATAAAACCTCTGTGACCGAAACTGTGTAATAAAACCTCTGTGACCGAAACTGTGTAATAAAACCTCTGTGACCGAAACTGTGTAATAAAACCTCTGTGACGTGAACTGTGTAATAAAACCTCTGTGACCGAAACTGTGTAATAAAACCTCTGTGACCGAAACTGTGTAATAAAACCTCTGTGACGTGAACTGTGTAATAAAGCTAACTGGTGAGATTTAACATTTCAGGGAACAGTGATCTCAGGGAAAGTCATTTGAGGGAAAGTCACTTGAGGGAAAGTCACATGAGGGAAAGTCATTTGAAGGAAAGTCATTTGAAGGAAAGTCATTTGAAAGAAAGTCACATGAGGGAAAGTCACATGAGGGAAAGTCACATGAGGGAAAGTCACATGAGGGAAAGTCACTTGAGGGAAAGTCATTTGAAGGAAAGTCACTTGAGGGAAAGTCACTTGAGGGAAAGTCATTTGAAGGAAAGTCATTTGAGGGAAAGTCACTTGAGGGAAAGTCATTTGAAGGAAAGTCATTTGAAGGAAAGTCATTTGAAAGAAAGTCACATGAGGGAAAGTCACATGAGGGAAAGTCACATGAGGGAAAGTCACATGAGGGAAAGTCACATGAAGGAAAGTCACATGAGGGAAAGTCATTTGAAGGAAAGTCATTTGAAGGAGAGTCACTTGAGGGAAAGTCACTTGAGGGAAAGTCATTTGAAGGAAAGTCACTTGAGGGAAAGTCACTTGAGGGAAAGTCATTTGAGGGAAAGTCACTTAAGGGAAAGTCACTTGAGGGAAAGTCACTTGAGGGAAAGTCATTTGAAGGAAAGTCAATTGAGGGAAAGTCACTTGAAGGAAAGTCACTTGAGGGAAAGTCATTTGAAGGAAAGTCACTTGAGGGAAAGTCACTTGAAGGAAAGTCACTTGAGGGAAAGTTACTTGAGGGAAAGTTACTTCAGGGAAAGTCACTTGAGGGAAAGTCACTTGAGGGAAAGTCACTTGAGGGAAAGTTACTTGAGGGAAAGTCACTTGAGGGAAAGTCACTTGAGGGAAAGTCACTTGAGGGAAAGTCACTTGAGGGAAAGTCACTTGAGGGAAAGTCACTTCAGGGAAAGTCACTTCAGGGAAAGTCACTTGCAGGGAAAGTCACTTGAGGGAAAGTGATGGACTCCCACAGACAAGAAAATTTGGTTCCTTTTATAAGTCCTAAATTATAAAAAAAATATTTATGACGATTTATACTTATTAATGTTATTTTTGTCATTATCACCATTATTATCTAGTGACTGAAATTAATTAGTGATATTCTCCCTCCTAGCACCTCTCTCCTAGCACCTCTCTCCTAGCACCTCTCTCCTAGCACCTCTCTCCTAGCACCTCTCTCCTAGCACCTCTCTCCTAGCACCTCTCTCCTAGCACCTCTCTCCTAGCACCTCTCTCCTAGCACCTCCCTCCTAGCACCTCTCTCCTACACCTCTCTCCTAGCACCTCCCTCCTAAGCACCTCTCTCCTAGCAGCCTCTCTCCTAGCACCTCCCTCCTAGCACCTCTCTCCTAGCAACCCTCTCCTAGACACACCTCTCACCTAGCACCTCTCTCCTAGCACCTCTCCTCCTAGCACCTCTCTCCTAGCACCTCCCTCCTAGCACCTCTCTCCTAGCACCTCTCTCCTAGCACCTCTCTCCTAGCACCTCCCTCCTAGCACCTCTCTCCTAGCACCTCTCTCCTAGCACCTCCCTCCTAGCACTCTCTCCTAGCACATCTACTCCTCATAGCACCTCCCATCCTAGCACCTCTCTCCTAGCACCTCCCTCCTGCACCTCTCTCCCAGCACCTCTCTCCTAGCACCTCTCTCCTAGCACCTCTCTCCTAGCACCTCTCTCCTAGCACCTCTCTCCTAGCACCTCTCTCCTAGCACCTCCCTCCTAGCAACCTCCCTCCTACACCTCTCTCCTAGCACCTCTCTCTAGCACCTCTCTCCTAGCACCTCCCTCCTAGCACCTCCCTCCTAGCACCTCTCTCCTAGCACCTCGCCTCCTACACCTCCCTCCTAGCACCTCCCTCCTAGCACCTCTCTCCCTAGCACCTCTCTCCTAGCACTTCTCTCCTAGCACCTCTCTCTTAGCCCCTCTCGCCTAGCACCTCCCTCCTAGCACCTCTCTCCTAGCACCTCCCCCTAGCATCTCTCTCCTAGCACCTCTCTCCTAGCACCTCCCTCCTAGCACCTCCCTCCTAGCACCTCTCTCCTAGCACCTCCCTCCTAGCACCTCTCTCCTAGCACCTCTCTCCTAGCACCTCTCTCTAGCACCTTTCAAACCTCTCTCCTACACCTCCCTCCAGCACCTCTCTCCTAGCACCTCTCTCCTAGCACCTCTCTCCTAGCACCCTCCTAGCACCTGCCTCCTAGCACCTCTCTCCTAGCAACATTCTTCCTAGCACCTCTTCCTACACCTCCCTCCTAGCACCTCTCTCTAGCACCTCCCTCCTAGCACCTCACCTAGCACCTCTTCCTAGCACCTCTATCCTACACCCTCTCTCAAAGCAACCTCTCTCCAGCACCTCTCTCCTAGCACTCACCTCCTAATCACTCCCTCCTAGCACCTCTCTCCTAGCACCTCTCTCCTAGCACCTCTCTCCTAGCACCTCTCTCATAGCACCTCTCTCATAGCACCTCTCTCATAGCACCTCCCTCCTAGCACCTCTCTCCTAGCACCTCCCTCCTAGCACCTCTCTCCTAGCACCTCTCTCCTAGCACTCTCTCCTAGCACTCTCTCATAGCACCTCTCTCATAGCACCTCTCTCATAGCACCCTCCTCATAGCACCTCTCTCATAGCACCTCCTCTCATACACCTCTCCATAGCACCTCTCTCATAGCACCTCTCACATAGCACCTCCCCTATCACCTCTCTCCTAGCACCTCTCTCCTACACCTCTCATCCTAGCACCTCTCTCCTAGCACCTCCCTCCTAGCACCTCTCACCTAGCACCTCTCTCCTAGCACCTCTCCAAATCTACCTCTCTCATAGCACCTCTCCATAGCACCTCCATCCTAGCACTCTCTCCTACACACTCCCTCCTAGCAACCTCTTCACATAGCACCTCTACTCATAGCACCTCTCTCTAGCACCTCTCTCATAGCACCGCTCTCAAGCACCTCTCTCATAGCACCTCTCCTCCTAGCACCTCCTCTAGCACCTCTCTCATAGCACCTCTCTCATAGCACCTCTCTCATAGCACCTCTCTATAGCACCTCTCTCAAATAGCAACCTTTCATAGCACCTCTCTACATAGCACTCTCTCATAGCACCTCTCTCATAGCACCTCCCTCATAGCACCTCCTCCTTAGCACCTCTCTCCTAGCACCTCTCTCCTAGCTACCTCTCCTCCTAGCACCTCTCTCCATAGCACCTCCTCTACACCTCCTCCTAGCACCTCCTCCTAGCACCTCTCTCTAGCACCTCCCTCTAGCAACCTCTCTCCTAGCCCTCTCTCCTAGCACTACTCTCCTAGCACTCCCTCCTAGCACCTCCCTCCTAGCACCTCCTCCTAGCACCTCCCTCCTAGCACCTCTCTCCTAGCACCTCCCTCCTAGCACCTCTCCCTAGCACCTCCCTCCTAGCACCTCCCTCCTAGCACCTCCCTCTAGCACCTCTCTCCTAGCCCTCTCTCCTAGCACCTCTCTCCTAGCACTACCCTCCTAGCACCTCTCTCCTAGCACCTCCCTCTAGCACCTCACTCCTAGCACCTCACTCCTAGCAACCTCTCTACTAGCACCTCTCCCCTAGCACTCCCTCCTAGCACCTCTCTCCTAGCACCTCTCTCCTAGCACCTCCCTCCTAGCACCTCTCTCCTAGCCCTCCCTCCTAGCACCTCTCTCCTAGCACCTCTCTCCTAGCACCTCTCTCCTAGCTCCTCTCTCCTAGCTCTCTTCCGTATTCCACAGCGTTTGGGCTCCTCCTCCTCCCTCCAAGCACCTCTCTCCTAGCTCTGCCAACCCCTCTATTTCCCCTTCCATCACCAATATCCCCCACCTCCCTCTTCTTTATTCAAGCACACACTCTCTTCGTTTAACTTTCAGTGGGAGACATTTTAAAGGCAAATATTGTTGATGCCTTTTAAAACATGACATTTTACGCTGATCTGTACTTGTCATGTAATTAAAAGTAAATCTCAAGATTCTGTCTTTCAGTTGTCTCTCACTACTCTCTCTCTCTCTTCTAAATTTCTCCTTTAGCCTTCTAGTAAAAGGGGCATTAGCTTACCATCAGTCATGATGATGGTGTAGCTGTATGCGTCATAGCGGGTGTCATTGATGCTGTGGCGATGGCGGTAACTGTCGCTCCCTGAGATGTGAGTCGTCTTGACGTCGACGTTATGATCTCTGCTGGTGGGAGACCTTCCTCTGTGGTGGCGCTGGCGACGTCGACCAGTGTTGGGTGTGGTTTGGCTAGCGAGGAAGGTTCTGTGTTGGTGGCCATGATGGCGTCTGTTTATTGTGCTAGAGGTTGCTTTTAGATGGCGTCTGGTGGTTGTGACTGATGGTGGTTGAGGACTTGTGGTTGATGTAACTGGTGGCTGTTGATGTGGTTGGTCCCTCAAAGTCTCTCTTCTAGCATTACGTGCCAAAGGTACGAAGTTGTGATTGCTGGAATCAAGATTTTCTTTGTAGATATCTTGTGTAATGGGGTAGTGACTAACACCTCTATTCCTTCCATGTTTATTATACTCATTCGAGTCTGTAAGCTGTTCCAAGGAGATTTTGTCTTCATCTCTCTCTCTGGCTCTTCCTGCGCTGACGACCAGTCGTTTTAGATCTTTATCTGTGTCAGAGCTGCTGCTGTTATCTTGAGGATCGACGACCAGATAGTACACCTCTCCTTCATGTATTATTTCCTGACCACCATTAGACGATGGACTTTTTGCCTTGATGGAGCATCCTCCATCACCTCCCTTTACTTCCTCTGTTTGCTCTCCATCTTTCACCTTATCCTAATGGACAGAAAAAAATAGTTATTACTCTCACACACACAATGAAGTAAGCACTTCAAGAACGGGAAACTTCATATTAAACGGGCGATATAACTTACAAACATTCTCTCTCTCAGTCCACAGCAGAATTCGAACCTGCGCACTCTGCATCACAGTATTATGCCCGGGGTCTGGCTCTGTGGTAAAAGTACTGTGTACTTTGATACACAGTGAGAATATATATATATATATATATATATATATATAATATATATATAATATATATATAATATATATATTGAAACCACGAACAACTGGTATTTAATCAATCACAACACTGCGACTAGCTGGAGGGTCGAACCCGTGTTGTTTTAGCCCGCATCATGGTGAGCAAAAATTCACAACGCTCTAATCCACTGGACCATACAATCCTACTAGGACTGCATGGTCCAGGAGCTGCGAACCCACTCCTGCAACTACATATAGGTAGTTACCTGGAGAGAATTCCGGAGGTCAACGCCCCCGCGGCCCGGTCTGTGACCAGGCTGTGACCAGGCTGTGACCAGGCTGTGACCAGGCTGTGACCAGGTAAGCACAGTATACTGGATAAGTAATGAATGTCAGAGATTAAAAACATTTCTCTTAATGCTACAAATTCGGTAATGTCACCCAAATATTTTCAAGAAAATAAAAATCTAGTTAAGAAAATGTATGAAAACTCTACTATATAAGAAACACTGATGCGTAAGTTGAGGTTTTTAGTTGAATAATAACATCGTTTATCAAAAAACTGAACTGTCAACAGTAATGAAGAGACATAGGAAGACGCTCTTTCTATGTCAACGTTTCCCCCTTTGTAGATGTTTAGAAAGTCCTAAAAGCTTGATAGAACTTTACAAAAGAGCGAAACGTTGTCTTTTTTGTGCAGCAGAGACAATGCACGTCTCTGCTGCACAGAAAAGAATCAGTGTTTCTGATCAACATAATGGAATAAAAATCACAAGACAGTGTAAATTATATCCAAGATAATATATTATGTTTACTGAGAAGTCTGTTAACCCTGGTAGTTGTAGAGGTCACTGTCAGTGTTAACCCTGGTAGTTGTAGAGGTCACTGTCAGTGTTAACCCTGGTAGTTGTAGAGGTCACTGTCAGTGTTAACCCTGGTAGTTGTAGAGGTCACTGTCAGTGTTAACCCTGGTAGTTGTAGAGGTCACTGTCAGTGTTAACCCTGGTAGTTGTAGAGGTCACTGTCAGTGTTTACCCTGGCAGGTCAACTGACCTGTGTCGACCATCCTGGGCAGCAGGCGAAGACTCTGCGGGTGTCGACCTGGTTCTGGTCCTGATATACTGTCTTATACTGCGTCCTGAAACACACGGTAAGTACAGTAACAACACTTCATTAAATACATATTTAAAATAAGCTCACAGTAAACAGGTTATCGATATCACAATATACAAAACAACCACTGTGAAAAATTATTGAAATTCCAAGGGCTTTCGTGATTTCTCACGTTATCAAGGAACATCTTATAATTTTACAGTTCCTTGATAATGTAAAAAATCACAAAAGTGCTTGGAATTTCACTATTTTTCACAGTGGTTGTTCTGCATAATATATTCACACACTCGAAGATCTATCCCCAATTTGATGGTAGCTAAGTGTTACTATGATGCCCTTCCTCTCAACAGACCGTATATCATTGTTGTAATATGGCACTTGGGTGACTGCTTAAGGAGTCTTGAACAGTGATTATCTGACTGAGTATTGTACTACGCTCGGTGGCTCGCCATCTTTCTGTTCGCGCCACCGAACTCTTCACCGCCTTTAACATATATTTCTTAAATTGCAGTTGTGCTATGTAATGGCTAATTTTCATTGGTAGAGCAATCTAACCTAAGTAAGTCTAATCTAATTTGGCCTGAATAACATAAATCGATAAATTTGCTGCTCACCATATGTGACATATTAACAAAGAATTTTCCGAGATGTTTAGCATTGTCTTGCATCATTCGTGAGTGTCCTACATCATCCGCGATTGTCCTACATCATCAGTGAGTGTCCTACATCATCCGTAAGTGTGCTACATCATCCGTGAGTGTGCTACATCATCAGTGAGTGTCCTACATCATCCGTAAGTGTGCTACATCATCCGTGAGTGTGCTAAATCATCAGTGGGGTGCCTACATCATCCGTGAGTGTGCTACATCATCCGTGAGTGTGCTACATCATCCGTAAGTGTGCTACATCATCCGTGAGTGTGCTACATCATCAGTGAGTGTGCTACATCATCCGTGAGTGTGCTACATCATCCGTGAGTGTGCTACATCATTCGTGAGTGTGCTACATCATCCGTGAGTGTGCTACATCATCCGTGAGTGTGCTACATCATCCGTGAGTGTGCTACATCATCCGTGAGTGTGCTACATCATCCGTGAGTGTGCTACATCATTCGTGAGTGTGCTACATCATCCGTGAGTGTGCTACATCGTCCTTGACTGTTCTATATCATCCGTGACCGTCCTACATCATCCGTAAGTGTGCTACATCATCCGTGAGTGTGCTACATCATCAGTGAGTGTGCTACATCATCCGTGAGTGTGCTACATCATCCGTGAGTGTGCTACATCATCCGTGAGTGTGCTACATCATCCGTGAGTGTGCTACATCGTCCTTGACTGTTCTATATCATCCGTGACCTTCCTACATCATCCGTGAGTGTGCTACATCATCCGTGACCGTCCTACATCATCCGTAAGTGTGCTACATCATCCGTGAGTGTGCTACATCATCCGTGAGTGTGCTACATCATCCGTGAGTGTGCTACATCATCAGTGAGTGTGCTACATCATCCGTGAGTGTGATACATCATCCGTGAGTGTGCTACATCATCCGTGAGTGTGCTACATCATCCGTGAGTGTGCTACATCGTCCTTGACTGTCCTACATCATCCGTGAGTTTAGTTTAGGAAGCGTCAGGAACCCGACAATGGATGTCACAGTGTGGACATGTCTCCTACTGTGTACCTTGGCAGAGTAGGAGACACCCTACTTTAACTCATCCTAGGTTTCATAGCTAGATATTTCTAACACGAAATGCTAGAAATAATATTGATTCCCTATAAGGCACTTGTTAGACCACGTTCGTAATATGCAGTCCACTTGTTATCTGCAAGTTGCATACAAGACGAAAATGGACTTGAGTGAGAAGACAGAAGAGCGCATCAACTCTGTTACTAAGAAAAAATTACATAGAGAAAAGCTCCAAGCATTTAATTGTAAGGATTATACACCGCCTGGGAAATGGGAGGTAATCTGCTTTGAGTAGTGGAAAAGGAGAAAAGCTAAGATTCCTTGCAGTTACATTGATGATAAGTTACTCACATTGTTGATGGCTTGTCAGTCATATTGTTGATGATTCAGTCACTGGAGGGAGGAACCTCCAACAGAGTGACAGTTTTGACCCGGCAATTTATCCAGGCGGTGTATGACCCAAACAGTATTATTGCTTGTCTTCTTTCAGGTGTAATATTAATTATAACTGTCAGTCACATTACTGCTGCTGCTACAAGGGTCCACTGCGGATATCATCATATTCATGTCGAAAAGCCAACAAGTGATGAATTAGACACATGTGCAACATCTGGGTGTCTTGTAGATACCATCCAGTGGCTTTATCAGTATAATAGTGACATAATATAAATATGTACAGCATATAGTGGAAGATGAGGTAATAAGTTCTTGAGCCCAGGAGCTGGTGATTTTCAGATGTTGCACATGTGGCTAATTCATCATCTTGTCGGTAATGAATACTGATATATAAAACACAGTGATCACACAACGCCTGGAGACGGAAGGAAGGAGAGGATAAGAACCCATCACCAGCATCAGGGCTTCCTACTGAAAGGGTTAGCTGTCATTAGTTTCATGGCAATGAAATATGATGGGTCTAGAAAGCACATTCATAAATATTGTTTACATTTCAAGTTCACACCACTGCTAGACGAACCTCGAAGCAGCCTGTTAACCAACAGTCTGATCAGACTATTACCCAGGAGGCCTAAACTTGGACCGGGTCGCAGGGTCCATGGACCATGGGATCAACTACAAGTAAACTAAAGATACAGCATTAAAAGAAAAGACAAATCATTCTTTTACCTCCACATAGTGATTCTCACTGTAAACATAGTCTTGGTAACGTCCGTCGCCATGTGGAGAAGATAGGCTCTCTAGACGCCTTGTATAATTACAAGATTTATTAAAACAAATTCAATTCTCCCTTCTCCTATGTAGCAATTACAGAGGCAAAAGTTGACCAGGATACACACATATACATTCTTGGGATTTACTGACAACCGTAGCAATAAAATCATAACTTAAATCCCCTTATAATAATGAATCTAAGCTTCCTTCTAAATACACACAAGTAGCTAGAAGTTCCACCTCAATACAATAACATCAACAAACTAATATTAAGTCGGTACCTCACACCCATGATCACATTTCTGGCGGTGTCTGGAGATCACTTTCCTATAAAGGGACTAATTTTCAGACACAGGGGAAGGTTGAGCGTGTGTGGGCAGCCCAAACCCTTCATTACTACCCAGGTAACCACCAGGTAACAATTTGCAAGTCTCGCATCCAATGCCTATTTTCTTAGATATTTAAGCTATAGGTCTATCATCGAGGTAAGTCTCCCCGGGAACGTGTTATGTAGCAACCATCTTTCCACATAAGTGAGCACCTGGCAACCCTATATTGTACTACAAGTGACACTTGGTCAAACTTGAATATTTTCTAGCTTCTCTAGCGTATCTAACTCTCCTCAGACTTAAGATTAAACAAGATTTCCAGGTTTACACGGAGCGTTATGAAACTGACGGTGAGAATCTAGCAAGAAAAGCAAATGTTTTTCGGTGCTAACACGATCAGAAAGGTGTCCCCGTATTGCATTACCCCAGCCCCTTGTACCTCAATACACGCGATTGGAATAGTGCAGAGTGAGACATAAGTTAAATATTAGCAGTTAAATATTAGCTTGGAAGATGTGAAGTGAATCAGAAGAGGCATTCACGAGTTATCATATGGAAATTAATATCTAAATTTCGTTAAAAATATAGCATATTAGGTAATACACAGTTCAAAACTAAATCAAACCATTAATCAGTTCAGGTTTGAAGCCGAGCTGAAGAATCATTCTCTTATTAATTCAGAACGATCACTATACTAAAATACACAAACAGCGTGAAGGCGCTCAGGTGTATCAAATTATCAGTAGAGATTCAGAAATTTTTGAACAAGAAACTATTTTTTTTACACTAGCTGACAAATCAAATGCGGTCGTAGTGACGCACCTTGAGGAAACAAACTTTAAAGGCAACAAAGTATTTTGTTCACCTCAATGATAACAGCAAGCTTAAAGACAGTACTATTTTCATTTTATAAATGATTTACTTTGTATATACTTCTCAGGATTAAACTCAGCTTATTTAAAAAATGAAAGGACTACGAATTTCATCGCTTAGAAAAACTGAAGAGGGGGTCGAGTCATGTGACTATTATGTAACTTTGGTTTAGCCTCTGGTTGTTCCTACGGGATATCAGTTTAAAGTAGTTGTTGGGAGAAATATGCAAAATATGAGGGGATGACACAGCAGTGACTAATTTCGAGGGTACTTCTAGCCTGCTGTGATGCAAGACTCTCGTTGATAACCCGTTCAGTCAGGCTGTTGCTGTTAGCAACCTGCTGGCCCACACAGTCATTATTGCCTAGATATGCTAGTAGCAGGATATGGCGCTTTGTGACCCATGTTGTAAATAAAACAACAATTATGACAGTAGGTTGATGATCCTGTGACATCAGGTGTGGAGTCTGCAGCTGATGACACCAGATAAGCATGCTCCCAACTATGACGTATGGAAGTGATGCTGATATTGATCTTGTGTGCTCCATCTGTTTTATCTGAAGCTGAGAACGACACTAGACTTGTCTGCTCCTGGCTATGATATCTGCAGCTGATGACACCAGATTCATCTGCTCTCATCTGTGGCTCCTGCAGCTGAAAAGACCAGACATGTCTGCTTCGATGACCTGTCACTACAGTGGTCCCCACTCTTAAAATATACTCACAGTCGACGATCAAAAGGACAGAAAAAACTATATAAACGCTGTTCTAGTGAGAGGGAGTGAGTCGCAAAAACTGTCGGTCACCGTAGTTTTGGGTGAGTGTTTATGCATGGTGTAGGGTGGCGACAACCTGAATTAAGGGGCGGTGGTTTGTTTGTGTACTCCCGGGCCTGTAAGCAGTGTGAAAACTGCACTTGACTTTGGCTGCTGTGTGTGTTTACCTAGCTGTATTTATCTTGCCCAGTTTGCCGGTGTTGGGCTCCAGCTTTTGATCCCGTCTCTAAAGTTTTGGTTTAATGGAATGATATATGTCGTTATTTACTTGTAAATTCACGAATAACTGTAGCATTCGTCTGTCTGTAGCATTTGTCTGTCTGTTGCGTTCATGAATGTCTGAGAATTTTTGTATCATTGTCGCTTCTAAATTTGAATATTCGTCGTCTAACTTGTCTTTTCCTTGGAGTATTTTGTATGCCGTGATTATATCTCCTCTTATTCCATGTTCTTCCAGAGATGAGGTAACGTTCGCCCAAGTCAGCCTCGTTCTGAATGACTGCTTTCATACTCTATAATGGGTCTTAGATGTGTAATGAATATTGTAAAAATATCTTCGTTCACCTTTCCAAAGGTCTTGAGTTATTTATTTTTTTCGTATTTAGGCGTCGCTGCTGATCTTATAACGTGCCTCGGGAGGCTAGTCAATAAAGAAATATATATAGCATTCACAAGAAATACAAAGATTAAATAGAAAAAATTATGAATAAAACACACTGGCCTTTTAGTTTTAGGACGGGCTTTCCATGGGTTCGAACCTTCATCGTGATGAGTTATTTACAATCATGACATTGTGGTTTATTGAGTTAGAACATAGCTCACAAAAACATTTCTATTTTATTAAATTAACTAGCATCAGTTATAAATCTCATTAATCTGATAATGATGAAAGACTCGACTAAAAGTTCTCCGAGATCCCTACAAGCACCTTGATAATAATAACCATAATGACAGTAGAAAGCTTAAGCCATTTAGTGTAAAACCTCCCTTTTTTTACACATCGATTTTACAAGGTAAGAGCTGCTACCCAACATCTCATTTCAAAAGCCTGTCCTATCTGAGGTATACTACCACCCCCCAGGATGCGACCCACAACGATCGACTAACACCCAAGGTACCTACTTGCTGCTAGGTGAACAGGGGCAGCAGGTGTGAGAAAACATGCCCAACGTTTCACCCGTGCCGATGATTGTCAAGCGTTAATTCACTATATATATATATATATATATATATAGTGTAGGTTGGTAGACAGCAACCACCCAGGGAAGTACTACCGTCCTGCCAGATGACTGTGAAACAAAAACCTGTAACTGTTTTGCATGATGGTAGGATTGCTGGTTTTCTTTTTCTGTCTCATAAACACGCTAGATAACAGGGATATCTTGCTACTCCTACTTACACTTTGGTCACACTTCACAGACACGCACATGCATATATATATATACATACATCTAGGTTTTTCTCCTTATTCTAAATAGCTCTTGTTCTTTTTTATTTCTTCTATTGTCCATGGGGAAGTAGAAAAGAATCTTTCCTCCGTAAGCCATGCGTGTCGTATGAGGCGACTAAAATGCCGGGAGCAATGGGCTAGTAACCCCTTCTCCTGTATACATTTTACTAAAAAAGAGAGAAGAAAAACTTTATAAAACTGGGTTGTTTAAATGTGCGTGGATGTAGTGCGGATGACAAGAAACAGATGATTGCTGATGTTATAGAATGAAAAGAAGTTGGATGTCCTGGCTCTAAGCGAAACAAAGCTGAAGGGGGTAGGAGAGTTTCAGTGGGGGGAAAATAAATGGGATTAAATCTGGAGTATCTGAGAGAGTTAGAGCAAAGGAAGGGGTAGCAGTAATGTTAAATGATCAGTTATGGAAGGAGAAAAGAGAATATGAATGTGTAAATTCGAGAATTATGTGGATTAAAGTAAAGGTTGGATGCGAGAAGTGGGTCATAATAAGCGTGTATGCACCTGGAGAAGAGAGGAATGCAGAGGAGAGAGAGAGATTTTGGGAGATGTTAAGTGAATGTATAGGAGCCTTTGAACCAAGTGAGAGAGTAATTGTGGAAAGGGACCTGAATGCTAAAGTAGGAGAAACTTTTAGAGAGGGTGTGGTAGGTAATTTTGGGGTGCCGGGTGTAAAATGATATGGGAGCCCTTTGATTGAATTTTGTATAGAAAGGATTTTTAGTTATAGGTAATACATATTTTAAGAAAAAAGAGGATAAATAAGTATACAAGGTATGATGTAGGGCGAAATGACAGTAGTTGTTGGATTATTATTAGTAGATAAAAGACTGTTGAGTAGACTTCAGGATGTACATGTTTATAGAGGGCCACAGATATATCAGATCACTTTCTAGTTGTAGCTACACTGAGAGTAAAAGGTAGATGGGATACAAGGAGAATAGAAGCATCAGGGAAGAGAGAGGTGAAGGTTTATAAACTAAAAGGGAGGCAGTTAGGGTAAGATATAAACAGCTATTGGAGGATAGATGGGCTAATGAGAGCATAGGCAAGGGGTCGAAGAGGAAGGGGTAGGTTTAAAAATGTAGTGTTAGAGTGTTCAGCAAAGTTTGGGTTACAGGAAAGTGGGTGCAGGAGGGAAGAGGAGCGATTGGTGGAATGATGATGTAAAGAGATAGTAAGGGAGAAAAAGTTAGCATATGAGAAGTTTTTACAAAGTAGAATGATGCAAGGAGGGAAGAGTATATGGAGAAAAAGAGAGAGGTTAAGAGAGTGGTGAAGCAATGTAAAAAGAGAGCAAATGAGAGAGTGGGGGGAGCTGTTATCAACAAATTTTGTTGAAAATAAAAAAAGTTTTGGAGTGAGATTAAAAAAGTTAAGGAAGCCTAGAGAACAAATGGATTTGTCAGTTAAAAATAGGAGAGGAAGTTATTAAATGGAGAGTTAGAGGTATTGGAAGATGGAGGGAATTTTTTAGGAATTGTTAAATGTTGATGAAGATAGGGAAGCTGTATTTCGTGTATAGGGCAAGGAGGAATAACATCTTGTAGGAGTGAGGAAAAAGCCATTGTGAGTGTGGGGAAGTTCGTGAGGCAGTAGGTAAAATGAAAGGGGGTAAGGGGAGCCGGGATTGATGGGATAAAGATAGAAATGTTAAAAGCAGGGGGGGATATAGTTTTGGAGTGGTTGGTGCAAATTATTTAATAAAAGTATGGAAGAGGGTAAGGTACCTAGGGATTGGCAGAGAGCATGCATAGTTCCTTTGTATAAAGGCAAAGGGGATAAAAGAGAGTGCAAAAATTATAGGGGATAAGTCTGTTGAGTGTACCTGGGAAAGTGTATGGTAGAGTTATAATTGAAAGAATTAAGAGTAAGACGGAGAATAGGATAGCAATGAACAAGGAGGCTTTTGAAAGGTAGGGGTGTGGGGGACCAGGGTGTTTACAGTGAAACATATAAGTGAACAGTATTTAGATAAGGCTAAAGAGGTCTTTGTGGCATTTATGGATTTGGAAAAGGCGTAAAGACAGGGTGGATAGGGGGGCAATGTGGCAGATGTTGCAAGTGTATGGTGTAGGAGGTAGGTTACTGAAAGCAGTGAAGAGTTTTTACGAGGATAGTGAGGCTCAAGTTAGAGTATGTAGAAAAGAGGGAAATTTTTTCCCCGTAAAAGTAGGCCTTAGACAAGGATGTGTGATGTCACCGTGGTTGTTTAATATATTTATAGATGGGGTTGTAAGAGAAGTAAATGCGAGGGTCTTGGCAAGAGGCGTGGAGTTAAAAGATAAAGAATCACACACAGGGTGGGAGTTGTCACAGCTGCTCTTTGCTGATGACACTGTGCTCTTGGGAGATTCTGAAGAGAAGCTGCAGAGATTGGTGGATGAATTTGGTAGGGTGTGCAAAAGAAGAAAATTAAAGGTGAATACAGGAAAGAGTAAGGTTATGAGGATAACAAAAAGATTAGGTGATGAAAGATTGAATATCAGATTGGAGGGAGAGAGTATGGAGGAGGTGAATGTATTCAGATATTTGGAGTGGACGTGTCAGCGGATGGGTCTATGAAAGATGAGGTGAATCATAGAATTGATGAGGGAAAAAGAGTGAGTGGTGCACTTAGGAGTCTGTGGAGACAGAGAACTTTGTCCTTGGAGGCAAAGAGGGGAATGTATGAGAGTATAGTTTTACCAACGCTCTTATATGGGTGTGAAGCATGGGTGATGAATGTTGCAGCGAGGAGAAGGCTGGAGGCAGTGGAGATGTCATGTCTGAGGGCAATGTGTGGTGTGAATATAATGCAGAGAATCGTAGTTTGGAAGTTAGGAGGAGGTGCGGGATTACCAAAAACTGTTGTCCAGAGGGCTGAGGAAGGGTTGTTGAGGTGGTTCGGACATGTAGAGAGAATGGAGCGAAACAGAATAACTTCAAGAGTGTATCAGTCTGTAGTGGAAGGAAGGCGGGGTAGGGTCGGCCTAGGAAGGGTTGGAGGGAGGGGGTAAAGGAGGTTTTGTGTGCGAGGGGCTTGGACTTCCAGCAGGCATGCGTGAGCGTGTTTGATAGGAGTGAATGGAGACAAATGGTTTTTTAATACTTGACGTGCTGTTGGAGTGTGAGCAAAGTAACATTTATGAAGGGATTCAGGGAAACCGGCAGGCCGGACTTGAGTCCTGGAGATGGGAAGTACAGTGCCTGCACTCTGAAGGAGGGGTGTTAATGTTGCAGTTTAAAAACTGTAGTGTAAAGCACCCTTCTGGCAAGACAGTGATGGAGTGAATGATGGTGAAAGTTTTTCTTTTTCGGGCCACCCTGCCTTGGTGGGAATCGGCCAGTGTGATAATAATAAAAAAATATATAGATTTTGATGGTGTGGTGGGTTGCACTCACCTCCTCTCGTAGTGGACACAGGTGGGGGTGTTGGTGTAGCAGCCGGGACGGTAGACTCTGACGGAGGCGGTGAAGGTGTGAAGAGTAGGTACCTTCACCTGCACCTGCAGCTGCCGCTGGTACTCACACACCTGAGGCCTGGCCAGGAGACATGTACCACAGGTTAACAAGTGTTACAGCGTTCGTCTCTAAATACAGAAGGCAGGGAGAGAGGGAGGTGGAG